TATATATATATATATATATATAATTTATAGGCCTATTATATATTTTTATGTTTATATATATGCCGCAGGCAGTTTGAATACTTTAGGATTTCTATAACATGCAGGATTTTTACAACAGTATCCACAGTTAAACATTAAATACCGCGCAAAGAACTGTGGTAAATCATGAGGGCGAGTACACAGCCGAATCAATTGCGCCCTATTGATTTTATGCCTTGTGCAGTTTGAATACTTTAGGATTTCTATAACATGCAGGATTTTTACAACAGTATCCACAGTTAAACATTAAATACCGCGCAAAGAACTGTGGTAAATCATGAGGGCGAGTACACAGCCGAATCAATTGCGCTGCACCTATTGATTTCTATCACTTCCTGTTTTTATAGGCAAAACAATACTGATAATGACTAATCTAAATGATGTCTCAAGTCCTGAAAGTCTCTTTATACTTCACTCAGTGTCACATTCCACCAGTCGGCGTGCTGCTGGTGCATGCTGGGAAGGATCACATGACAGCTTCGCAGGGTGCATGTGTCGGGGTAGCAGGGTCTCTGTCAGGAAGTGCGAGACTACAGAGATGGCGGCAGGGGTCCACTAGTCTGATGGGCTCTAATTAACTGCTAATGCTTTCACTCCGCTGACCTACACAGGATTAGGCCCTGTCATTAGCTACAGACACACACCCACATCTCCCTGTACTTGCCATTTGTTGGGCTAAAATGGATTTCGGCGTCTCCAGCAGAGCCATCAGTTGTCTAACATGCGTTTGAATGCAGGAAATGGGAAAGGTAAAGAAAAGCACAAATAGCTACAACAAATATCAGCAGGCCTCTCTACTGTACTATCTGACCTGCAGATCTCATTCCTAAATCCATTCCCTTCCTCTTTTATTCCTTTAGTCTCCTGCTGTCTTTCAGTCTCAGATCCTTTTCCTCATCCTCAGGGCATTTCTTTCCGCTCTCTCTCTTCTTTAATCTTGGGAGGAGACATTATCCGAAGCACATCTCACTGCAGGGCTGTCTCGTTCACTGCTGTTCCTACCATTCAACGGAGAGGGCTGGCGCGGTGCGAGAACTGGCTCCATCATGGCATCGTTAAACATGCAGCCGAAGCAAAGATAAATTCATTTTATAGTGTCCAGCTATTGATTCTTCACTATGTTGTTCATTGCCTAATTGATCTCTGCGGCTCTGTCGACTACTAAATGTGCTGTTTAGCTAATATCTGCATCTTTGAAACCTTCAGGCCATCAGCGGGAGTCCTGCAGATTCAGTTCAGTTCAGTCTGTCAATAAAAGCTGGGTCTGAACACATCTCTAAGGAATAACAGTAGCGATTTTTTCAAGACTTTAAACTTCACTTGCAATGCACCATATGGCAGGACTAATCAAACTGCTAAACTTCTATTAGACGTTACATGGCCTTGCATTAAAAATACTGTATTAAGTTTGAGCTTACAGATGTCACTCTAAACACTAAACGTGAGTCTCAATTTTTTTTTACAAGATAATTGTTTTAGAAGAAAAAGTAAACAATTAGAAGTAGCAATGTACCATATACCAGTACCACAGTGGTTATCAGTTGATATTAGTAGTGATTTTTAGTGATTCTTTAACCTCAAAATGAATGTCAGTTTTTCATACTGTTCATTATAATGTTGTGATGCTTAATTTTACTCTAAATTTACATTTCAAATGATTGATTTTATTTTTAAAATGTTTTAATTTCTACTTAGACAAAATAGTACAGAATTTTAATATCAGCTATTTATCAGCTAACAGCCATAACATGAAAATAATTATCGGTATCAGACTTGTCGGTATCAGCCGGGATATTAAAGGGGTCATGAACTGCCTTTATTTTTAATTTTGTACTGTTCTCTGAGGTCCACTTATATTGTTATCAAAATTTTTACATAAAAAAAAAAACATAATTTAGAAGTAATAGGCTATTTTCTGTCCTGTTTTAACCCCTCTCATCAGAACGCTCTGTTTGAAGGCGGGGTGGATTGTAGACTCGGAAGTAAATGCCCACTGCTATGATTGGCTAATAGTTGTGTATGTTTGACAGCCTACATCCTTTATAGATGGACGCAGCTGTGATTTAGGTTGAAAACACATAAATACTCGGTACATATCAAACGATCTGTAATAACAGACATAGCAATAGTGATCATGTAATAAAAACAGTTACTCGAACTTGCGTGTTGCGGCATTACTGTCGGATCCAATTTAGTCGGCACAGCATCGTCTTTTAGTTTCAATCTTTCCGAAAATCCCGCGTCAAACTGTGTTTTGTTTGTAAACAAATCCACGTTAAAATGAATTGAACAAAAGACCAAGTTCTTACTGACGTGGTCTAGATCTTCATTAAAAAGCTCATTCACTCTTTCCTAACGTTGGTATCAGAAGGAAGGTAATGAAAAGACTGTTTTTCCACATCTTGGCACTGCACAGCATCTTGTTGTCTTTGGAGCCATCTTTATCGTTTGGTTTCTGCATAGACCTGCATTCACCTCTCGTTATTTACACTACATGCACGAATCGGTGGGCGGGGCTAAACAGGCAGTGATGCAGAAGCAGGCATTGATCTTCTGGTGGTGTTTAGCCACACTGTTACATCAAAGTGGTATGTTCCATAGCCTGATGTTTCGGCAGATTGGCTTCAATATAAGCTGTTTTTAGACTAACGAGAAAGTTTTGAGTTCCGAAACTTACAGGATGTTTTAATAGTACAATGACCTCTTATATGTCAAATGATCAAGGGAATTGACCCTTCGCAAAAACCTGCCCTCCTTAGTTACTGTTGCTATGTACAACAAGCCATGGCACTCTCACCATACACAGACAGAACATGACAGAGCAGGTTACTTCTGTTATGAAACAAGGTCTCAGCTTTCAGATTTGGTCATTTTTTAAGAAATTCAAATAATAAATACCGTTTTGTGGCTCTTTAATGTCTCATGTCAGTTTGCTGTAGCGCCTCGGTTCAAGCGGCATGTGAACCGATCTTATTTAAAGCACGAAATAAACATGAATGAACATCAGAATGTATTTTGTTTCAACCACAGAAATACGCCAATACACACAATTTTTAAAGTTTAAGTCCACTGAAGTTAATCTACTCTCCTGTCTGATTTGTTTGTCGGACAAAATGGCGATTCTGCATTATGATTGGTCAGATCGCTTGTCAAGCTCTTTGCGAAGGGTCATTTTTGATTTCTCAGTTCATGACTCTTTTAATATCAGTGCATCCCTAATTAGTAGGCTTTGTGCTAAAAGCTTCATTGCTGTGATGGGTTAAGCAGTGTTTTTGTGTCCAGGGGGAAGACATGACCTTTTTGTTCTTACCAGTGAGACCAAACATCTAGTTCAGCCTCTGGTCCTGTTAAAGGTCACCAAACGTCAGGTCCTCCCAGATTACATATGCCATATAAAACCACAGACTACAAGTTCTCAATAATTAGGACACATGCTTTATCTCTGAACACATGCATGGCAAGGTATAAAAACTTACGATGATGAGGAATATGAAGTAGATGAAGTTGTAGAAGGAATGAGCGTCCATGACATAGTACATGATCTCCACCCAGCCCTCCAGCGTGATCACCTGCACAAACCAGACCACAATCAAGCGCTTTATGCACCTGGGAAAGATCCATCTCAGATGATCCATCACTATACGTCAGTTGAGACAAATGCTATTTACGATGAAGTAACATGCATCTGCTGTTTGTGATCGGATTTCGAGGGGAGAGTTTCTAATTTTGTGACGTATAATTTTATAAGATTTAGAAGCATTAAGAGAACAACAACATCACTAATTAAAACCTCATTGTTGATGAATTCTTTAGCAATTCTAATGAAATGTATACACACATATCTACACAAGCACAATAAAAGAAATATATACATATATAAACTTCTCTATTGCTCTTTTTTGGATTTCTTCTGTAGCTTTTGTACTAATCTTGCTCATACTAAAACTTCAAACAATGTCAAACACTTTGCTAAATAAATAAATGTAAATGCTTAAAACTATCTGCCAATGGGTAAGAAAAATTATAATTAATTCAAAGTGAAAACAAGCTGATTTTTACCTCATTTGCAAATAATTTCTTTAAACCTTTGTTTTACCACAGTGGATGATTGACAGGTGTGTAGGCAGCCCTTCACTGTTGTCCAAGACGCATCAGGATGGATTAGCATTTGCAACACACTACACATGCAATGCTGTCACATGCATTTTCAACTTCACCTGAATGTGGTTTGAGTAATTGGATCATAAAATGCTTTGAATCGCATTTACACCTGTAGTAAGTGCTGCTGATTTATGATAGGATCAGAATCAGATGTGTAATTTCAACAAATGCCACTTGACTCAATCTCTCACCTGAAATATGACGATCCATGCATAACCTATGTTGTCAAAATTGATCGCTCCTTTATGTGGGTTGGTGTGTCCTGTATGACAGCGGGTGTAGTACTGGTTCCAGTTTACACAGAGCCCCATGGCAGAGGCACTGCCGTTGACCAGTGGCTCCGCGCTCAGGCCCAGGGCCTGACGGTGCAGCGCATCCTCTTTATCTAGACAGCACTCCCGTCCGCCTTCTCTCCGAGCGGGCACGTCGCTGCAGGACATGATGCCGTTATCCTGGGCCAACGAGCAGATGTAGGGCCGCTCGTCATCCTCCTCAGGCTGATAATATGGGGCGGGGAGGGTGATGCCAGATGTGCTGAGGACAAGACGGAAGGAGAAGTCAAGGTTTTTGAAAATTCAGAGTTAAAAATGAACAAAATGTATGTGCATTAAAAGAAAATTCATTTATCAATACAGTTGTGGTCAAAATTTTACATTAAATTTTCAGTATCTGCAAAATGTTAATTATTTTACCAAAATAAGAGGGATCATACAAAATGCATGTTATTGTTTATTTAGTACTAACCAGAATAAGATATTTCACACGAAAGACGTTTACATATAGTCCACAAGAGAAAATAATAGTTGAATTTATAAAAATGACCTGTTCAAAAGTTTACATACGCTTCATTCTGAATAGTGTGTTGTTACCTGAATGATCCACAGTTTGTTTGTTTGTTTGTTTTTTTGTTTAGTGATAGTTGTTCATGAGTCCCTTGTTTGTCCTGAACAGTTAAACTGCCTTCTGTTCTTCAGAAAAATCCTTAAGGTCCCACAAATTTGTTGGTTTTCCAGCATCTTTTGCATATTTGAACCTTTTCCAACAGTGACTGCATGATTTTGAGATCCATCGTTTCACACTGAGGACAACTGAGGGACTCGTACGCAACTATTACAAAAAGTTCAAATGCTCACTGATGCTCCAGAAGGAAACACTAAGAGAACAGAATGAAGATTTATTTTGCCTAAATATCATATTTTTCTCACACTGCCAGAATTAAGTCGATTTTTCATATTAACAAAATGTTGTGAGGCCTGTGCGTATAAGAAAAAAAAACCTACACAAAAATCTAATTAAAAAAATAATAAGACTTAAATCGTTAAATCGTTTTGCATCTATTAAAGTGTTCTTACAGTATAGCTGAAACATCTCTAGGCAGACCTGAAGAGATCTGAGCAGTAACCAATGTGGATTCATTCTATAACAGACCAACTGGGCGTGTGTAGTGTGTGCGTACATGTGTGTAAAGCCCATTTCTCTGTGAGTGACCCATTGAGGGCAGCCTGCCCCTTAATCACAGTGTTTCACTGCCCAGAAATAGCGGTTTCCATCAGCCACTCACCCTCTTATACACATAACAGGGTCACAATGACTATTTACACTCCCTTTCTCCCCTCACTCGCTCCTTTTTTCTCCCTTTCCCCGTTTCTCTCACACATCCATGTATACGCGAATAAGCACCAACATGCAATGCCATTTGTCCACCTAGCATAAAACAAGCATAATACATGCAAGCCACACTGACCAATCAATGCCTCTATTGCTTTGTGGTCTAGACAGTTAATCTAAATGTGCACACACACACACAAGCACAAAGCTCCCATGACAGCCATGTTGGAGGTATTGGGCGCCAAGAAAGGATTGGTTCATCATCCCCAGGGTGTAATTCTCCCCATTTGGACAGAGGACTCCTCCGCAGACTCGTAGCTCGATAAAGGCCAAGAATGTTTCTGCTGTCGCGGAGTACATTTTTCCTTTGCCCTTCAACAACACAGCAGCCAAAAGATCTGAACCATTCGATAGCAGTAATGAGCAATGGTATATCGGGCTACACCAGAAAAAGCAATTTGTCTAGGCAGACCACGGTGGTGACACTCGTGCGAGGATATGCGTGTGCACATTTCCAATGCACAAAACTAATCAATGCCTGTGATATGGCAAATTGAGCCAATGCATCAAACCTTCACAGATTCCCCCGTGGGCTTTGTGCGGCACATACTGAGATCTCTCCTATAAATGTCAGTCTGTATTTTCAACACGACAGTCAAGCTGGACCGCGTGGCACCGCTTTTCTTTAAGAGTTCAGCGGTATGGCGACAACTGGGGGGGCAGAGCGGCAGAGAATCAGTAAGTCTGTCAGGGCTCTGCAAGGAGTGCTGGAGTGTGAATGATGTTTGTGCCAGTGCCAGGGCTCGGGCACAGCGTGACAGCGCACTGAGGAGCACAGCCCAGCGTGGCACACCGCTAACACCCCACTGTGGCACAAAATGCCATTCCACTGCCAATAAGACTGCTCTCGCACATGGAGATAATTGACCAATGACTGACAAGCTGTTTGTGGGTCGTCGCAGGTGGGTGGATGTTAAGGAATGCAGCATAAAACGAGCCCCGAGGAGAAGTGTGACTTTGAGGGTTGACTTTTTAAAGGAATTTCTTCCATTTGTCAAACCTCAGCAGATGCCGTGAAAATGACTCAATCTAAATTGTCTTTTCGGTGCCTGTAGCGTAGTTAACATCAACAGTCTTACCTTTCATTTTTAAATTGTTTTTTGACCTTATATCATAAGATTTACTGGTGAAATCAACACCTGCTTCTGGTGATGTATGCCAGATTTTTGCAATAATTTAGTTTGCTTATTCTCCGCCCCTCCAATCGACTGCAAGCTCTCATTCATTTTTGAGTGCAACATTCACATCTGAAAATTTATCTTCTTGATTAAAGGAATTGTTTAACCAAAAATAAAAAAAATTCTGTCATTGCTCACCCTCATGTCGTTCCAAACCTGTAAGACCTTCGTTCATCTTCGGAACACAAATTAAGATATTTTTGATGAAATCCAAGAGCTTTCTGACCCTCCACAGACAGTAATGCAACTGACGTGTTCAAGGCCCAGAAAGCGTCTCCATTCTAGTAAAGTGAAATTCAGTAGTTCAATAAAGTGTATCCATTGTAGTTTATATGTCTTTTTACTGCATAAATAGCATATCCTCATTCCTGAATGCGAAAGTCATGCCTGACTCTTAACTGGAAGGATGCTTTGCATTTCCGGTCCCCAGTGTTTCTAGTCAAACTAGAGTATATTCCGAGCTGATAATCTAATGTTAAACCTATTAAAATGTTTTTTAAAAGCACATGGCTCCATAGCTCCATCACTTTACAGTGTCGCAATGACCGTCATTTGTCAGTGCCTCACTCCTCAAAGTTTAATGAGTGTGCAGATGACACGAAGCTGCCGACGTTAGCTACATTCAACCCTCTAATTTTTTAATGAAAGGTTAGATTTTTGTAAATTTTTTAAATAAAAGGTAAATAGGATTAACAATGCAGATTTATTTTCACAGCCTTTTTTGATCATATTTACCAAGGGTACCAACAATTCTGACCACGACTGTGTGTGTGTATATATATATATATATATATCAGTCTGGCGAGTAAACTAAAAAAATTACTAGCCAATGGCGATTCAATTGCCAAGGTGTCCGTAGAGGGTTGTACATTAAAAACAGATTGGCACTATTTGAATGGGTTCCTATGGAGACCGGAACAGAAGAGCATCCAATCGGAAGTTAGAATTCGTAATGGCGGCGCTCATCATTGACTCAGTCTATACATGTAGATTCACATCTTGGAGTTTCAATCAATGTAATATTCAATCAGAAGCCGATCAGAAACTGAATCATTTATTGTGTTCGGGTTTTCTTAAAATGGTGTATGGTTAAAGTTAACTAAATTGCTAATAACAGCTTTAAAGAAGTTTCTTTTATACACTTGTATGTAAAATTTTGAACCAATACATTTTGACAGTATTAAAGTTTCGGTGTTCGAAGAGTGTTTGAGCAGCCAACTGTTGCTATGGTTACATTGTTTTGGTTACACAACCATTGAAATCAGTGAAAACACGTGTTCCGACTAACTTGTGATCTAACATTCACAGTTATTTATGTCTGCAAAAGCTAAAGATAGTTCTCATATAAAGAGACCCCCTTATATGCTAAACTAAACTATAACTGTGTAGCATTTGTTCTTTCAAACCCTATAAAAACATTTTAAGTAATTCATCCTCACCAAAAGGGAAGGAGAGTGTACATTTTAAGAAGACTGTAAGTGAATGTACAAAGCAGAAGAAAACCAGGCGCTTTCTCAGGAGACTCTATGATAGACTTTCCTTTCAAAACACTTCATCATCCTCTGACTATAGTGCCAGCATGTAAATATACTCGCTACAAGACAATAAACGACAATCAGGCCTCAGCTGACGTTTAAACTCAGACACGCGCTTCTTTATCCCACACACACGCGTAAGAAACGCGTACAAACAAACGCACGGTGAGTCTCGCACGCTGCCATGCACCGTGATTCCTTTCAAATCCAATCACACAGCAGAGAGAGGCAGGCAGACCATGGTTGGCACGGTAACCTCAGGCAGACACCCACTCATGAATATGGACGTCAATCTGAGTTTTAATCAACTGGAGCCATCGACTGGGTGGAACCACATTTGTATTTTTAGTGGCAGGTAGACAGTAAAAACAAGAAGATGAGAGGAGAGATTAAACAAAAGGATACATGTGAGAAGATAAGTGAAAGTAAGACCAGTTTACATCTTAAAAACGACGATTTTGAGAATATACGACAAGGATAACATTTTTGCCGATATCCGATATGCCGATATTTTTCAAATCATTTTTGCAGATAGCTGATGCCGATGTATATTTCCTTTTGTTTTGAAACAATGCAAATCACTCCTGTGCAGAAATTATAAAAAATATATTTTTAATTTAGTTTTATATAT